GTTTCTCAGAAACATGTTGCAGGGCTAGAAAGAGCCATTGCAATGAGATGAAGTCGTCTGGGAGCCTATAGTGTCCCTTTAAGAGAATATATCCACAAGATTGCTAAATAAATACTAATATGTATATTACATCTTTTACCAAATTGTTTTCATAATCCCTTAATCAGTCTAATATTTATCTAAACAGCTGATAATTATAAGTGGAAGTAAACAAACTAACTTCAAGTTTCAACTGTCATGACATCAATTGGTACTTCATAGTTAGAAATTTAGCAAAATGTAGCATATTTTCATCACATTGTAGAAATGGAACGTATCTTACTCTTTTCAACTGTGGTGTAGATGCAAATATCAAATCTATTCTAGCAAAGAATTATAATAAACATAATATTATCATTCCTCAGCTTCACCATCAAAAATGACATAATTAAATTACCTATAATTTAAATATGTATGTGACCCCCCTCTAATTTATTTCTAGTGGTTATGGAACTTGTTAACTTGCAATCAAACTTTTTATTAGGCTTATAATAAAATTTAACTTTTTTTTTATTTTTTATTTTTTAAATATGCCTGTGGAGTATGATTTAGGCTAACAAGCAGAAATAGGACATTGCCTTGTTAGATCTACTTCTCATTATAACAACAAAATGTTTCATTATTATTATTTCTCATAGAAGAATAATTATATCTAGATATATATTTCTGGTTTACTAAAAAGAAAAAAAACATAAAAGTTAAATTTAATTTATATATAATTCATATAGTTGCGTGTACCTATTTATTGAGTCAAGGAGAAATATAAAATTCACCTATGTACAAGATCTGTGCATTCAGATGTAACAATACACATAGAGAATGTTCATCATTTTTGCTCACAAGTTCAAATTACATTTGTTTATAAATAGGTATAGAACTGTCCCTGGGCAGATGGATTGACAAGCAAAACCGTTCTGATGTGCTCTTTGCATGTACATAAGAGCATATTTTATTTGCTCATTTTTCTCATTAACAGATGTAAGGTTTCCTCTACACCAGGGGTGTCAAACATGCGGCCCCCCAGATGTTGCTGAACTACAACTCCCATGATTCCCTGGCTATCTGTTTCATTGAAAGAATCATGGGAGTTGAAGTTCAGCAACATCTGGGGGGGCGCATGTTTGACAACCCTGCTCTACACTATCTGAAAATTTTTATTTTTCCACATATATCCAAAATGATTAAAATGTAAACAATTTGGAAAAAGACCCATGGTGAAGATAAAACTAAAAAATAGGGGGGGCGGAGCTTGCCGCGCTATCACATGGACGTGTTCTGAGTGAGCTCCGTCCGAGCCGATCGGGAATCCGCTAACATCGGGCACAAACAACACGATGGGCCACCCAAAAAGAGCCTCCACTGCACAGCACACCACCTCTAAGCAGCCGGTAACCAAATCCGGGGCGCTCACGAAATTTTTCCGCGATAATGCGGACCACCAAGCCGGCGCGCTAGGCCCCAATATGGCGCCGGAATCCCCGCACGACGGCTCAGCCCCTTCGAGCCCGGAGGGCTCAGATGCCTCACAATACCAACCAGATAGTGGCCTGAAAGAAGTGCTGCGCAACCTGCCATCCAAGGCAGACATCGCCGCCATGCTAGACAGGCTGGAGGTATCGTTCCAGACCAAACTGGAATCCCTGGGATCTGATATCCGCCAAGTGAAAGAGAAGGTAAACACCCTGGAAGACGATAGAGACTTACTGACCTCACAAATGCAACACATGCAGGATACAATTCAATCACACACAATGCATTTATCTGCCATGCACAGAATAATAGATGACATTGACAACCGAGGACGCAGAAACAACCTGAGAATCAAAGGGCTGCCCGAACAAGACCAAGAAGACCTCCATGCCACGTTAGCCGACATGTTTAACCGCATCCTGGGTCAAACGGAGGACACACCGATCCTGTTGGACAGGGCGCACAGGGCCTTAAAGCCTCGCGGTACCCAGAGAGACCAGCCGCGTGATGTGGTATGCAGGGTACACTATTTCTCCACAAAAGAAGAAATACTTAGAGCCCTGCGACAAACCTCACAACCGCTACTATATCGGAATGACCCCATCCAAATCTTCCCTGACCTCTCCTGGCACACACTTCAAGCACGCCGCACACTGCGCCCTCTCACAGAAGCGCTAAGAGCCAGGAATATTCGATACAGATGGGGGTTCCCCCTCGCTCTCATTGCCACACACAATGGCAAAACGCACTCACTGGCATCAGCACAAGACATTCGGATATTCACAAGAGCTCTAGACCTTCCAGACATCCAAATCCCCGACTGGTACGGTGTCATGCCGACAGCTCCATCAGCCCCACTGCAACAGAGACAAAGGTGGCAAACCCCGGGAAGGAAGAGGAGGAATGACCGACCAGATAATTCGCCAAGCTCCAGCCCACCTACATGCACACAAAATCGCCACTAAAGTCCTTCAGCTCGCCCAGATTGTGGACCGCCATCACTGAACCGACTTCATGCTATTCATCATCACTACCCTTCTAAATGAACTTTCTACACGCGAAGACCATCTCTGACACGTCTTCTCCGGCCTCGACACTCCCAGCAGTGCCCTCTCCCATTGGCACATCCCATGCGGACCCTGTGACGGGACTGATTGACTACCCTCCCGGTTTACTCATCTGACACCGGTCCGCCACCCACACGGACCCTACGAGTGCTCATGTGCTCCGCCACCACGACCAGGGACACGTAAGATGCTATGCAACCCACTCCAATCCTATCCCCTCCGTCTACCCTTACTCCCACTATGCTCCATATTATGTACCCTACAAAATTTTAACGTTCTAATGTATTAATGAAATATCTTTGCATGCAACATTGTGATGTAAGCCTTTCGGCCCCAGGGTCCAGCGAGGCAACTGCTATAGGGGCACCATCTCCCCTACTACCTTAATACAGTGTTGAACGTTTACAATCGAATACGATGTATCCCACATGGACCCTGTATAACTCATTGTACTTAGTGATGCAATTTCTGTTTTTTAATAACGTATCTTTTATTGTCACTGATGGGAGCCTTCCCACGCGCCTCACACCAGTTGTCCTCACCTGCGGATCTATGCCCAGGACAGACCGAGGCGTGGGGGAAGGCTCGGCGGACTGGCTCCAAAACTGTAATAGACTGTTCTCTTCTTTGTTATTTGTTTACTGTTCCTTTTGTTCCTATCTCGTCACACTGGAAGGGGCCCAAGAGCGTAGCTAAACACCCGTCCTGGCCAACCAAGACAGGCTACTCATATCGCCAGAAGGTCACCCTTCAGGCCCCACACAATCCCTAACACCCTCCCTCCCACCTATAAGCACTCTACAACATCATAACTCCCAGAGAGGGATGCCAACCCCGAACCCCACCAACCGAAGTCGCACCTCACCACTCCAAGCAATGACTAAGGGTCCACGATCCCCAGCCCATCTACGACTTTCTTCCATACCACAGAGGATTCCCCACCCCCGACCGCTCGGACGAATCTCTCATCTCACACGCAGAGATCCCATCTGCCCCCCCCCCTCCACAAACTACACTCTTCACACAGGCATACACCCCCCCCCCCTTACCCGAGACGTCGGGTACTTTCTCAACAACTGAGTAATCAATACTGGAAAACCACCCCAGTAGAGAGGCAACTACAACAATCCCCGGCTATCACCTGTAAATACCCGAGGACCGTTGCCATCGCTACCAGTTGTCCTGGAAACACATAACTCTATAAGGACTCGCTAAACAGGTGTTTCCTTATTTGTAAATAGTTAGTATTTTACTGTTTAACCCCCCCCCCCAAGGTCGAGTTCAAGACCTTCCACCCCCCCCCCCCCTCCCTCCCAAAGACATGGCCACTCTACGAGTAATCTCTCTAAACGCAAGAGGCCTCAATCTCCCCGAAAAGCGCTCACAAGTGCTATCAGAACTCCAGGCTCAGCACGCAGACATAGCATTCCTTCAGGAAACTCACTTCAAAGAAGGTGTAGCACCCACGCTCCATAACAAGCGCTACCCCACAGGCTATTTTAGCAATTACTCAGACTCCAAAGCGAGGAGTGGCCATATTAATAGCTGCCAACACTCCGTTTATATATAAAACCCACGAAACCACGGCCTCTGGGCGGTTACTTATGCTCAAAGGACAAATCGGCAGCACCACGATCACACTAGTCAACCTATATCTCCCTAACAGAAGACAGGGCAAATCACTTAGCAAATATCTCCACATGGTGGAGAGATTCACAGAGGGTATTCTTCTCCTTGGAGGCGACTTTAATATTTCCCTCGACACAACATTGGACACCACATCCACGGCCTCTTCCTACCACTCCACTGCCAGGAGAAGAATCACCTCGCTTTTAGATGACACACGCCTCTTCGACATCTGGCGCACCACACACCCCACGGCCAGAGACTATTCATTCTACTCACACGCAACTAAAACATACTCACGCATCGACATGCTATTCACACAACACCGGTTTCTCCACTTAGTGCAATCATGCGACTATGGTCCCATCACATGGTCAGACCACGCACCCCTGTCTCTTGCCATTCGCATCCCTAACCTGCCGCCAAAATCCTTTCATTGGAAACTGAACGACCTACTGCTAAACAATAATGAAGTCACTGATAAAGCCCGTACCACTATCTCGCAATACTTCCAAGAAAACGCTCACCCCTCCACGTCACCCACCATCCTATGGGAGGCACATAAATGTGTCCTCAGGGGCCACCTCATAGCGATGGCCTCCAAACTCAAAAGACAACGTACCGAGAAAGCCTCCCTACTACTAACTGAAATTAGAACCCTGGAAAACTCCCACAAACGTAATAACGCATTAGACACATACAAACTACTCGTTGAGAAAAGGTCAGAACTCCAACAAATTACCAACGCCAAATTCAAACAGCAGACGCTTTTTACTAAACACTCATACTACTCCCAAGGCGGTAAATGCGGACGCCTTCTAGCCAACGCACTCCGCGACACGAAACAATCCACCTTCATATCCAAAATCAAAACACCATCAGGAGACACGTCCCATAAACTCCCGGATATACTCAAAGCCTTCCAAGAGTTCTATGCCGACCTCTATAACATACGTAAAACCCCACCATCTAGACTCGAACTGGAGCAATACCTTGCTCCCCGAATCAAGCAGACAGTACCCAACAACCTCCTACAACACCTAGAGGAACCGATACACATAGATGAATTCCTTCAAATTGTACGCACCTCTCCCCTAGGGAAAAGCCCTGGCCCAGATGGCTTCACTACCAAATACTATAAGACGTTTTCAGACCTGCTCGCCACTCCCTTCGTGACAGCATATAATTCCCTGATCACCTCCCCTTCCCTACCAGACTCCACACTTGAGGCACACATTACACTCATCCCAAAACCCGGGAAAGACATTTCCCTCTGCGGAAGCTACCGCCCAATTTCCCTCATTAACAACGACCTCAAACTCTTTGCCAAGATTCTCGCCAACCGTCTCCGCCCCCTCCTACAGGGGCTAGTCCACCCTGACCAGGCCGGCTTTGTGCCCGCACGGGAAGCCAAAAACAATACCACTAAGCTGCTCAACTTAATACATCTAGCCCACAGATCGAACACACAGAGCCTACTATTAGCGATCGACGCTGAAAAAGCGTTCGACAGGGTGGACTGGTCCCTCATGTTCGCCACAATGGAGGCAATTGGCTTCGGCCCCCACTGGCTACAATGGCTACGCTCTATATACTCTAGGCCGCGTGCACGCATTAGAGTAAATGGCCATCTATCCGACCCATTCCCAATCACCAATGGCACGAGACAGGGGTGCCCGCTGTCACCACTCCTTTTTGTACTCATCATGGAACCCTTCCTTCAAGGGATTAGAGACAATCCGGCCATTCACGGTTTTAAGGTGCAAAATCATGAATACAAGATAGCAGCCTTTGCTGATGACCTGCTGTTCACGGTTACACAACCGCTGACTTCTATGCCGCAAATCCTACAGGAAATCACCTCCTACCATAGGGTCTCCAACTTCAAAGTCAATTATACGAAAAGCGAAATCCTCCCCCTAGTCCTCGCCAACTCCACCAAATCCACCCTTGGAAACTCCCTCCCGTTCCTCTGGGCGCCCAGGGATGTCAAATACCTGGGAGTACACCTACCAACCCATCTCACAGATTTATACGACCTAAACTTCCCACCACTGCTACAGACTATTTCTCGGGACCTGACCAAGTGGCACAAACCACACTTCGGGTGGCTTTGCCGCATTAATATTATCAAAATGAATGTCCTCCCCAAACTTTTATATCTTCTCCAAACCCTCCCCATTACACTACCGACATCCTTTTTCAACGACATTAAGAAGACCTTCACCCGCTTTATATGGTCGCATTCTCCCCCTAGGCTCACATACAACACTCTTACAAGCCACAAACTCCACGGGGGCCTAGGCCTCCCAGACGTAGAACTATACTACAAGGCTACTATGTTACACAGAGTATACGAATGGACCATCCCCAACAACCCCAAACATTGGGTGCTCCTTGAAAAATCTGCCTTTCAATATCCCCTCCTCACTATCCCGTGGCAACGAACAGGGACAATCTCCCTCTTGCAAGCTCACACAAAACACCCCACAATCATACCCACCCTTAAAGTGTGGTCACAAATAAGAAATAAACTAGGCATATCCCCCCACCCATCTCCCCTCTATCCACTGACTTACAACCCGGACTTCACGCCGGGTCTCTCCCCTTCCTCCTTTGCTGCGTTCCCACACACCCACTACCTGCAATTACGCACCCTACTTGACGACCAAGGAATTAGACCCCCTAACGCGTTCTGGGAAGATACGCAACCTACGACCCTACAAAAATTCCGCCACTCTCAACTCGCCCACTTCCTATCAACCACCCCCAATATCCTCCAGGGACACCGGCAACTCACCTCATTTGAACAACACTGTGTCTCCAGCGATATCAAAACGAAGCACCTCTCATCCCTATACAAACTGATGCAAACGGAAATATCGCCCGTCCTGCCCAAATACACAAAAGCCTGGGAATCCGATCTCAATCTTTCCCTAACACAATCAGACTGGAAACACGTGTTTTCCAATATACACAAAACAAGCATGAGCACGCACACACAGGAAGGGAACTTTAAACGACTATCCAGGTGGCACCTTACTCCTTCCAAAATACACGCAATCTTCCCGAATGCTTCCGCGCAGTGCTGGAGATGCCAACACCCCCAGGGAACCCCAAGCCACATATGGTGGACGTGTCCAGTCATCCGCACTTACTGGTCCAAAATCATTAAGATGATTCACACCATCACCAACGTACAACTACCCCAATCCCCAGAAATTGTACTCTTCCTCCTCCTCCCCCCATCAGTTCCCAAGAACACAAAACCCCTAACCAGCCACCTTCTCACAGCGGCAAACGCCCTCATCCCCAGCCACTGGAAAAAATCAGAAGCGCCCACCATCCGGACATGGATCAATAAGGTTGACTCCATACGCCTTTTAGAAGAAATACACTACTCGAGGTCACACTCATACAACACCTATGAACGCACCTGGAGCCCGTGGCTACACTTCCTAAAAACTGATGAGACCTCCAGAACACCAACTCCCAACTAACTTACTTAAAAAGCCTACACCCCTCCCCCCACCCACCCCTCCCCTCCACTCCCTTTATAGTTTGACAACTCTGGCTGGACACAATTTAGTGGGACTTAGTGGTTTCACAAAAGTATAAATTAGGAGGTTGAATCACATTTACTATGGCAAATCAACCAGCAACACCTGGTCTGTGAACCCACAGCACCCAGACTGGAACCTATACTTACCGACCCCACCACAACCGGTACGACCCCGACATAATCAAAACTAACTCAATTTATTTATCTCCTTCTTTCACGCCTCTAAGATCTCTATAACCTACCTGACACAAATAAGTTAGACAAGACCAGCCAGAGTGAAGTTATTGCACAATGTTAAATGTTTGAAAATTCACTGATGAATATTGTTTAATGCTCAGAACTAACCCATAAGTGCATAATGGAATGTGGACATCATACCTTGCGACCCGGAAGAATTCTTCCAACGACATTTCTCACACTACCTTGGCTCCACAACATGACACCATGTTCTGCTCATTATGTTATTTACTCTATGCTAACTCAATGTACAACTCTGTTTGTATGAAAAATTTTGATAATAAAGACTTTGAAATGCTAAAAAAAAAACAAAAAAAAAAAAAACTAAAAAATAGATACGAAACAATTGCAGATAATTGCATTACTTCTTGTTCACTTATTCTTTTTTACACATTTTGTGGCATAAAGATTAGCCTAACTGAAACTAACAGAAAATAACAGATTTCTCTCTTCTGAATTAACTAAAAAATCAGCACCAATACCGATGCAAGTCTTTCCCAATAATTTGCTGAAGCAAAACTAAAATAACATCAGGAAACTGTGGATCTTGAAAATAATGACTTGCGTACACTCTTAGAAAACATTAAAAAGTGAGCTATTTAATATAAAGCCAACTAGCATCAATAGCTGGTACCTGCCAATGACGACTACCGCAGCATCACGACCAGGGTAGGGACATAGGAGCTATGCTTCTCCAAAAAACCCCACCAGCTAAAACAACCCCTGCGGGCTTGTACAGGAAGCCCAGGGACCTGGGCCCTCTCAGACGCATGGCATGGGTCGACAGCCTCCCTGGGAGCTCACAAGAGATTCGGCACCTGCAACAAAAGAAGACCTCAGGGTCCTACTTGCTGACCTACACAATACGATGGTGGCAGACTGAGTTCTTGCACAGTAGAAAATACAGGCAGTCACCGACCGGGTACAGGCCACAGAAGGAACTGTACTAGAAGTACAGGCTGCGGTTGCTACGCTCAGCGACTCGGTCCTCCAGCTTCAAAATATCCAGCACTCAATGCTCATACAATTAACCAAGCTGTTAGACCGTCACCGCCACAACCATGTAGTAATCTGTGGCATCCCCATGGCAATAACCGTGAATGAATTACCTCACTACATCCAGAGGCTACCGGCCTCTATTTTACCACCAGCAATAGCCAAGATGATTACACTTGATGGAGCGTACAGAGTTGCAGGAAACCCCAAAACTACAACCTCCACACAGCGAGATGTAATCCTGAAATGCACCACTTATGCATTTCGAAATTGCATTATGCTGGCCCTGCATGGCAAAACACCTGTACAATTCGAGGACTCACAACTATCATACTATCAAGACATATCCAGGGCTACCCTGCAATGGCACAGGTCCATGGGGTCTTTTACATCACAACTGCGTACAGCAGGTATACCTTACTGATGGGGACCCTTAGGCATCTTACAAGTAACCTGGAACGGTACTGTTCCCAGACTCTGATCCAAAGATGAAGCCCCTGCAATGCTGACCACAATGGGCCCCACAACACCGGCCCCAGACCAGGCAGTAACTTGGGATCTGGCTACTGTTGACCCATTTACCCTGAGAGTTGGCACTTCAACCTCCCACGTGACCTGAAAAATTGGGCGAATCACATTGGCTTTTCAATACTCTGGTATCTCAGGGCCTGGAACTGTGACTTTACCTAGTTTGTTTTACATTTCTTAATTTTATGTTATGTTCATATGTCTTGTATTTTTTCAAGTTACCTACCAACAGGTCCTTTAGACAAAGGATCACTTTACCACTCAGAGGAAATCCAGCCCACATACCCTCATACCCTACTGTTGACCCATTTACCCTGAGAGTTGGCACTTCAACCTCCCACGTGACCTGAAAAATTGGGCGAATCACATTGGCTTTTCAATACTCTGGTATCTCAGGGCCTGGAACTGTGACTTTACCTAGTTTGTTTTATATTTCTTAATTTTATGTTATGTTAATATATCTTGTATTTTTCAAGTTACCTACCAACAGGTACTTTAGACAAAGGATCACTTTACCACTCAGAGGAAATCCAGCCCACATACCCTCATAGCCATAGCAGAAAACCCTATAGGCGGCACCCAACGGCACGTGTTTAATCTACTCCTCTCCCTCCCCCCCATGGCCCCCTTGGTTAGGGGCATCTCATATCGGTGCAAAATTCCCATAATATGCTTGATTTCACCGTGTCTGTGCAACCGGTAATACTTTAATGTGCATTTTGCCAGTGAGTGCAACTGACCCCACTCCTAACTGAC